GTGTCTGTGTGTGTGTGTGTGCCTGTGTGTGTGTGTGTGTGCCTGTGTGTGTGTGTCTGTGTGTGTGTGTGTGCCTGTGTGTGTGTGTGTGTGTGTGTGTAGTCAGCTCAGTGTGGACTTAGAATGGCTTGCTAGGCTCAGTTGAAAAATAGGTTCTGCTTAAGAAGTAAATGTCTTCTGCACTTACTAATGAGGTAGTTTTGGAGTCTGACTGTAACTCTTATGGTGAGCTTTGTAATCGGGCTCTTTCCGGCTTTCCTAAAATGTAGATGTAATTGACTAGGGGTGTGTAGATGTCGACTTGGGATTTTAATATGAACTAAACTACTGTGACTGATAATATGTCAGTACTTGGATACTACAGTTCAGAAGTAGCTATTAATCAGAACACCAACGTGTATCGAGCGTGACTCGTCTTGGGTCCCTGGAACCGGACATTAAAAATGCCGGCAGAATCTCGTAGTGCATGAAGTGGGATGGATGAGGCATCCACACCGTGTCAGGTGGGATGTGATAGACCCACCCACTGCGAATTTCTGGCCAATCACTGTCTCTCATGCCTCGCAGAGGATCACAGGTGTACAGTGGTGGTTTTCCTATATTTATTTTTTGATGTCTTGCCATAGATAATGAAGGAATTTAACGTTTTATGACTACTTTGGGATTCGGTAGTAAACATCCTGCTCTTTATCTAGTGGGTCAGCTGACCTTTCAGAAGAATTATTACAAACGGGGGTCAGAGGGCGTTTTCTGGGTTGAATGACCGTCTTCTCTACATGTGGCAGGAATGGTGAAGGCCTACACTTAGCGGGAGGCAGACAGTCACCCCCAGCACCGCCTGCAGGGGCAGCGTAGAGCAAGGCGAGATGGCAGGAGCGTAACTCGAGTCCTCAGATAGTGTCGGTCCGATCGTACTTGAGAACTTTTACCTTTCACTGTGAGCTTCTTTTGTTGTTTTGTTGTTATTGTTGATTTTTTTATAAAGAGAGAATAGAATTTACTGTTTTTTTAAAACAAAAATATATATACAATGAAAATGAAAATATAAAACAGAAGTGTGCCTAAAATGTCAATTGTGTGCCATAAACTAGAGAGTACTGCATAGCCTTTTTCTGTAGGACAGACAGTATACTTTGGAATATGATAAACTTCTTTTAATTCTAAGTATTTTTGTTGACTGTGAGACTGTGGCTTGACCTGTCAGTGTTTATATGCGTGATCATTTACGACGTCACATTCTGTAAAGCTAATGCAGCTCCACTGCATTCCATGTTAATGTTGCTCTGAGTCGTGAGACCAGTACTTTTTTGACGTTGTTGTAAATAGATGAAAAATACCTGAAAGGCAATAAAAGCTATATTGAGTAAAAAAATGATCGTATATTTTGAGCTTTTTTGTTAAATGCAGATCTCTTAAAGGCCTGTGAGCCAACAGCTGCCTTTCCCAGCTTCAGAACGAGCCTAACGCCAGAATTGGGTCCGAGCAATAATCATACTGACTTTTTGTTTTGGACCTTCTTGCTGTCTAGCTGTTTGACTGACACTAACCGTCGCCCCATGATAGCAGTCTCATTTAATTTCATAATCGGTTTTGTTTCCTGCTTATTTTGTTAACATTTGACACCTGATAGTGGGCTTGTGTGAAATCATGACCCTCCCATGATTTTACTGGGTTGTCTAGGTAATGTCAGTCTGGCGTGTTCTTAGCTATGATTAGTTCTACCATGTTGCCATCCAACCATTACTACCTGGGACTAATCTCCTCTCTATCTTTTTCCTTTTGTTTTCTTCTCCTCTCTCTGTTTGTTGTTTTTTTTTTTTCTTCTAACCACCCAGCCGCCACAGGCAACTAACCTTTGACCTTCTGACCTCTGAACTCTGCACCCAATGATGACCTGACCGCTTCCTGCCCCGCTGACCAGCTCTCTGGCCACGTCTTCCCTCCGCCATCTCGCGGTTGCCGGGAGAGCCCAAGCCACAGCTTCTCACCCTAACAACGCGCCCTAGTGACTTCACTCTGCCCTCCCCCGCCCCCCCGGACCCAGGCCCCGCCCCCAGATCTAGGCCCCACCTCCTTTTCCCCGCCTACCCGCTCTGTTGCTGCCCATTCCCGGTCAGGTGATCATGGTCCTGTACCTGCACTGAATAGTGAAGCAATAAGGTCCAATTTGTCCCGCCTTGGCTTGCCCCCCACCCCAACCCTGCCCCCACCCTCCCACCTCTCCAGCCTTGTGAAGAGAAGCAGAACGCCGAGATCTGACAGCAGCCCCATGGGGGGGGGGCGAGCTGGTGCCATCCTCTCTACAATGGGTGTGGGGGTCCCTCCCAAATCACAGGCACCCTGCTGGGGGGCCTCGGGCCTCTCCCCCGCAGCGTGCTCATCAAGTCCCCAGGGTGTCGTGCCACCCAGCCTTCCTCTCCGGCACGTCACCATCACACGCACACACACACCCCCCCCACCGCAGGAACACGCGCCTGTGATCCGTATGAGTGTTCCTGGGTGTGGGGGGGCGTCATCCAGCACGGGTAGGTGCAGCCCAAAGCATCCGCCAACTGTCAGCGCCCCCAGCCGGTCCTGAAGGGCCTGAGCCGCCGGTCACCGCCAGCGACCTGCTTCCGGAGGGTTCCGCACGCGTGCTGCTCGCGGCCGATCAGCCCTGCCACTGCAGAGCCGGAGTTTGAAAAACTTACTCTGGGTTTTGTATCTGAATCACATCGTGGGCAGGGGGGGGAGTCCGTCATAGACGGGTCTCTCCAGTCCTCCTGCGGTAGGGTGACACAGCGAAGGAACCGGGCCCCCCAGGACCGCAGGTAGCGGTACCAGCGACCCATGTCGCTGCCCGCGGGCCGTGACGAAGGCAGCCGTGTAAAAAGCACCCTTTTCGAAGGATGTAAAAGCCATGCTCTGAATTTATGGGAGGAAGAAACTGCTGACTTAATGTACAATATCTGGGAATTAGCAAACAAACACTGAAATATTAAATATGTACTTTTATGATACAGGGGTGCTGCAGAAGAGTAGGAGTATATTTTTCAGAAGTGTAGCCTTTTCTATCTTACAGTATTGTATAGAAAACATGGAACAAAGAAGCCCTTTATGTCACCATAGGAGGTCATTTCCAGCACAGGGAGGGGGACTCTCCTTTTTGCGGATGGAGAAGCATCGACCAAAACAGCCTTCTGTTCTTTTGTTTTTTCATTAAGCATTTATGACGTTGAGGAAAAAAAAAATAACATGAAAGTGCCTTATGTCCCGCTGGCCAATGAGCAGCCTGGAGTCTGCAGCTCCCTCCCACCAGCGGTGGGGGGGGGGGGGGGGGCTCTTGGGCCGGCAGCAGGCTGGCCTGTGCCTCGCTCCAGCCGAGGAGAATGGATCGAGTCGCAGCTGGCCTTCCCTGCCAGGGCGGCGTTTAGATTGGCTTCCGAAGACTGTTCTTCACGACGGTCATTAATAATAATCATAATAATAATAAATAATAATAACAGCGGCCGAGGAGCTGTGGCGTGGCTGTGGACCTTAACGTATAGCTGTCCCCATCATGGCCATCGCCTGCGCCTAGCAGGAAGCCTAAATCTGCACATAGGGGCTTGTGGGATTTGGAGTTCAGCAGTTGTAGTCTCTCATTATTCCCTCCCCTTACAGGTACCGGTTTGTTTTTAACCTGCCCCAGCAGCTGTACTGAAACGCGCCTGCAAGTTCTCCACATTAATATCTACCTTCAGGGTTTGTTTTTAACCCTGACCTGCCCCAGCAGCTGTACTGAAACGCGCCTGCAAGTTCTCCACATTAATATCTACCTTCAGGGTTTGTTTGACTGACACTTTGTGTTATTACTGGTCCTGCGATTTTTAGATTCCCACTGTGACTCGCCGCAGTCCTGTAGTACCAGATCGTCCTGTAGAGCTCTGCCATCAGGCTACTGTGTGAATGTCGGGGCTTTGGGGCCCTTGTGGGTGTGGCCATGATTATGACATCAGCAGCAGGCTCCTCCCTCTTCGCTTACTATGCAAATAATGGGGCTCCACTGGTGATTGTTTTCTCTGGCATGAAGTGTCTTCCTGGCTACATTTACATATATAGTGCCATATCTCAATGCTGCGGGACAGGCTGAGGAGGACGGGGACGTCCTCAGTCACCCCGGCAGAGTTACGTTCGATGACATCATCTCACTGTCATGCAATACGCAATGCACCTCAATGTATGATGGTCGCATCATTGATTTGATTTCCAGTATTACTTTTTGTTTTCCTTTCTTTCTGTGGATGCCTGTTCATTTAGTAGCCAGTTTTGAGTTTGTTCCTGTGTGTCCTTTGTAAGATGCCAAACCATTGACGTTTCATATTTGAGTTTCTTTGCTCTAATGCTTTTTATTTTGAAGTGTACAAATTTATTGCCTCTAAGCACGAGAAAATCACACAGACATGTTTGCAGTTACGGCTGAAATTGTGTACTTTTCTATTCTATTTTGTATGTATGTAATAAAAAAGATATTGACTTATTTCTAGATATGAACCGCAAAGGGGTCAACAAAAACACTAAAGATCAAAATTGTACAGGTTTCAAACGATGTGCCTGGTATTTCTCTGCAGACCTGTATGCCTTACGGTGACTAATGATTTACTCCAGGGGCTCGGAAGTCTCCCTGTGCCATGGCAACACAAAGGGGAGAGCGAGGGTGCCCCTAGTGGACGGTGTAAGCCGTCACCTCCATCGCCACCAGTGTTAACTAGCATAGTCTCTGTCCAGCTAATGATGCACGATATATATATAACTGTCTATTAGTGCCGAGTGTGTTTTTAAAAAGCAATATTATGCCGTTTCATTTACTGTTGGTTTTTGGTTGTTTTGACGCGGCATCATTTGGACACCAGGCCAATGCCTGACTGAGCCGGTCGCTTCCGGAGAGTTCCGTCTCCGTGGGGATCGTCCCTCGCTTGCTGTCTCGCCGCTCTCTGCCCGCCAGGCATCACAGATTAACCAGTAGTATTATTTTAATGAACGTCACACATGCAAACTTACTAACAGCGGACAGGGGTCTCAATCGTTAACCGCTCCATTGTCCGTTTTAGATGTCTGCTTTGGTTGTTTTAAAACATGAATTGTGTGTAATTAAACAAAGGGGTGGGGTGAGACGTAACTTTTTAGAATGCTAAACAGAATCATAACCCTTTGTACTGAAAAGCAATAGTGGAATATTGAAATCCTAGTGGAAAAAAATAAATAAAACTAACTTTGGTGCTACATGTCTGTGGCTATTTAATGCTCCTTCCAAGCTATAGTCATGCATACTAATCGCAGATGCGTGTTTAACAGCTGTCCATTAGTAATAAGAGTGAGGATGAGCCATAATCGAAACGTTAAAGGCTGGAGTTAAAATCTGTGAGCAGGAAACAGCCCCTTTCACTCCGGAAGCACCGTCTCCATGACGTCCATTCGGCTGAGAGAGGACGGGATGCTTCAGAGATCATTTCCTAGAACTCATTCCTTTGGCTTGCCGGTGATTCCGGAGCGACGATGCCGGCGTCCCACTGAGACGACGTTGAGAGCGACTCTCCGCGGGGATCCCCCCGTGCTGTTCGCAGGAAGTCACCTGATGGGACGTCACACCAGCCTGTGCCGGGAGGGGAGGGGGGCACCGCAGAGACGGAGGAGGGGCCCTACCGGCCATCAAAGCCGCCACCACATTTTATATGCTAGAAATAATCTAGTACTACAAATAATCTCATTAATATGCATAACGAGCAGTTCTAATAGGCCTGGTTGGAGGCGTGGCGAGCCAATCCTCACGGTCCTCACTAACTGTGTTTTCTGTTTGGTCTCCGCATGTGACTGCATATCCCCCACACGCAAAGGCCTGCCTTTCAGGGAAATGAGCTGCAGGCCACGTGGAGGCTCACGCCAGAACCTCCCCACTGCCACCATCTCCCTACCCCTCTCCCTGTCTCTACCCCTCCCCTCCCTCCACAGGGGGCCAGACACATTAGGGAACAGATTTCACCCCTCAGCAGGAATCAATCAAGATGAAATATTATTTTTCCTTACATTTGCATGTGATGGGTGGTGGTGGGGTGGGGGGGCGCGTGGCAAGCTGGTCACCTCATGATTGAAGACTTGACTGGTTATTGGGGAGCAGGAACCCAGTACATTAATCCCTCTGGAAATTGTGGAAAGTTATTGTGTGATTATGTGTGATTGTCCAGATTTCTCCTGGTTATAATTGTGCTTCTCAGTGTGTTTTTTATGCAAAGGTTCTAAATCACATGAAACTTATCGGCACATTTCCACCTCTTTATAAAAGTGTTTACTTTGCTAATATGAGGTCGTGTCTGGAACGTACAGCTGGGGTTTGAAAGGTCGGCATCTCGCTCACATCAGCGGAATGCTGATAGATTCCACTGCTCCTTGATGGCGTGGAGTCTCCGTCACGGTGCATCGGCATGCAAGCCGGTGAGCTGGTAAGCTGGGAATTCACACTCTGATGTAAACAGGGGAAATATCCGGGTCAGAACGGCAAAGCTTCTGAAAGTGCTGGTCTGGTCCCACTCTGGTCTCTACCAGCGTTAGCCTAATGTTAATGTCTGGGTATAGTCCTGGTTTTGTTATGTGTTTGATGATATTTGATGATCTCCTGGCTTCTGGAACATCTACATTGTGGCTCCAGGGTCCCAAGTAGGAAATGTCAACAGAGCACTGAAGCTGTGACATCTGATATCCCACCAATCAATGCCAGTGAACTCGCTCTTCATCATACCCCTAGTGCTAAAAGGGTCACATGACATCTCAGGGAGGCCCTGCTCAATGGCACCCCCTGCAAACTTCAGGTTCTCACGAATTGCCATTTTCTCTTTGTGTGGTGACTGGTCTTCATTTCCTGGCATTTTGCAGGAAAGCTCAGATGAGGCAGGAGGATCCCATGACGGCTCCCTGACAGCCGTCTGCCTGCTGTGTATAATCTTCCACACTCATACATTTCTTTGGACAAAGGCATCTGCTAAACACGTCAACATCAAATCCACATCGAGTTCTCGCCTCCCAAAAAACTGTAGCTCGAAGCCAGATAAAAATCAAGGAGTCGGTGTCGTGTCTGACTGAAACCGAACAATTCTGAAGCGAGCGCAGTGGGAGGGGCGGGGGTAGTACGAATAGCCCAGACTTCACACAGACAAAGGGGCCTCTGTTACACCCCCCCTCACCAAACTGTGAAATACACTGTGACCTAATGGCAGAGGACTCATGATTCAAACTCACAGCCTTCAGTTGATGCTCACTGTTGTCAGTAACTATCCGCACTGATGCCCACATGATTCAGGTATGTACTTCGAAAGTCTGAAACTTAAATTGGTCCATTACATTGAGCACAAATTAATCAAAAACTACCCCAAGAAGGAAGCTGGGGACCATGGTTTTGTAGACGACCAGGAAAGGTGCTCGAGTCTATTTAACGAACCCAGTTGGGGATTCCTCTCTGTTTCATTAATGCCGTTGTTATTCAAGGCTAATTTCCTTCTGGTGAGTAAGAAAGCAAAGCTTCCTCTTTTATTATCCCGTCTGCACGTGACGAAAATGAAAATGCGCGTTTATGGACGTGATGAACAAGTCATGAGACTCCTTGCGGGATGAAAACAGTGATCTCACTATGAAATATCTGACAATATATCAGCGAATGCCGTCAGAGTAGAAGCAGATGGCAGCATGTAGTATGTGTGATTAACAACAGCGTTTGCATTTTGGATACATGCAGAACATTAATCGCTTCACTGATACACCTCTCGCATGCCTGTGTAATGTACGCAAACAGAGCGGGTCACTATAACGCGTTTTGCCATTTCTGCTGTCTCCATTGTGGCGGAAGGGCTTTCGGCAGCCTGAGCCAGACCCCCTGGGGGGGGTAGGGCGGGGAAATCAAGACTTGCAACCCTTTTGTACGGGAAGGATTCAAGTGAAGTGTGAAGGATTACAAATTTGTTTTATAAGCTGCCCAAAATCCCACAGAGGAGGCCTACTCCTCCCCCCCCCCCCACCCCCACCATACACACACACCTACCCCTCTCATCCTGCCCAGTATGCTTTAAAAGAGAACAGAAGCCTTGCAGCACAGCTCTTTACATCTCCACGGAAACAGGCCCTTGCTGGGGTGCATTTTTTTGGATGGGGGGGCATATATGAGAAGTCCTTAATAACGATGGGTTTAAATGAAATGGGAGAGAGAAGAGCGGAAAAAAGGCAGAAAATGACATCATTGCTGCCTCCCACTGTAGTTGTTTTCTGAGGAAGCCCTCAGGATCCATTCATTGGCTCACAGTTGGTTGTCAGAGGCCCTGGGGAGGCCGTCCACCCTCCTGCCTGAATGGAGTGGTTTTTTTTTTTCTGCGGAGGAACAGTGGGTTAGTTCTGCTAGCCCTGAAAGCCTGGCTAATTTAGCGTGCATGCCAGGAAGTCTGAACTTTATCGCTTCACTTCATGGCCCAAACATCAGCCTCCCTCGCAGCCAACCCTCCTACCCCGAAGTGACAAAGGCTGAATTCAAATGAGGACCTCCTTTCTTCACACAGACACAGTGAATTCCTTCAGTGGTCCACCTCCCCAGAGCCCCAACAAGCCTGAAACTTACCAGGCAGCCCGAGGTGGCAGGTGGCCGAGGAATCGAGGACCTGCTGGAGGCTGCGGAATCTAGATCTGGCACGGGTTCTGCTGTTGTACCCGTAAATGACACACTTCTCTCCAGTGAGGCTGTTTGAATGAGTCACATTTCGGCATGTATGTGGCTATGAAATATGTTCCATATATACGAAAAGTGTCAGATAGGTTGTGTTAACCATGTAATATTTTTTTCCTGTGAAGCTGTGACAGAACTGCCTTACTCTCAGGATTGCACTAGGGGAGAAAAGACTAGAGCTCGTTCTGATGGCTTTGCTTTTTAATGTTGCAAGATGCTGAAATATCTGTATTTGCATGATGATATGTACGTGTTTTTGGGTTTGGGAAAAAAACAGAATCTGACAAGGTCGATGCAAAGAGCGCCACTGAAATCTGTGAGAAAAAATCTGAAAGGTCCTGAGTTGGAAAAGACACGTATCGTGAGGAGACGTTCTCGTAGCTGAACGTCTGACAGAGATCTACCTATTTAATGGGGAAAAGAGGGACTTCCAACCTTTATATTATAGCATATAAGCTACAATATATAACCTATTTATTATTTGCAAGTGTGTAGTTACATGGAAATTAATCAATAAAAATCCCTCTATTTTTCCATCCTCACGGGAACAAAATCTTAATATTTACTATAATTTAGTAAATATTATCCTCGCATACATGCATTTATAGACCAGATTGTTCAGTGCAGTCCACCGACTCGCTTTGTTTTGCTGCCACCTTGTGGATGTACTCATTTTCGCAGCAACTAGTGGATTTTTTTACTCCAGGAAATTTTGTTTGGGGAAAACTGGTTTAGTTCTTTGACCTTCTGTCAACTTGGAAGACTTTTGGACTGTTCAGAATAGGAAATCTAAGTTTGGGCACAACTCCAAAATGACTGACACGTTAAACTATGCGCTGTATCTCAGTTATTTGCCCCGTCGGACACAGCCCACGTCCCGCGTTCTAGTGACAGTAGAAAAGGCTCAGGCGCGCCCCCTAGATCCGCCCACCAGCCAGATGTTTCTGTCTCTCTGGAGCCGTGTGGCGGGCGATGCTGTCGTAAAGGCAGTGCGGCAGGAAGTGTCGATGTTTTACGACCACGAATTACGGAATACGACAGGAATGCTGAGGTGAGGCCAGTAAACTCCAAGCAGGTTTAAATATGTTAACGGGAAAACATCGTGGCAGGCATCAGCATAACTGCTTTTAATGCACCGACTTTGTACTCTTTGGACATATATTTGCTTTAGTTAACCGAATGTGACATGGAGTCAAAGCTGTGGAACGAGTTCGGCGTTGAGAGGCGCATTCGGCAGCCTGAGCGAAACCTTTTGTTTGGGATTGTCAAACTGCTGGGCAGTTCTTCGTAATGCTGCTGGACCCCCCCCCCCCCCCCAATATAATATAATAATAATAACATATTGTGCCTCTAAGTTAAAACGGTTAAAAGCACCCTACAGCTATTCTGTAACCAGATTTTCATAGTTGAAACAGGTTGTAAGCGGATATATATTTTTATTTTCATATTCTAATACGAAATACTTGCAGATGAAATGAAATCTGTATTCCTAGTTAATATGGTATACAGGTATTCCTAGTTAATACAGTTTGTAGATAATTTAAGATTTAAAATTAAACCTGTTACCAAGTAATTACATCACAAAACCCGTGCACTTTATTCATACATTCATTTATTTTTCTGTGGTAACGTGTGGTGACATGGATCATACAGCTCCTGTGCCCAGAACACTGGACCGCTTACATGAGTGATAGATTTCCTGAGCTGCTGATTGGCTGGTGAAATGATGGGGGTGTCCGTACCATAAGCCCCGCCCACAGCACTGTGAAAAGGATTCTGCAGATGGTCTGTTTGCAGCCTATGGAGACGCCATGCTGCAGGAACCTTGGCCCAGTAACCTTGTAACCAGAAACGTTCCCTGGACGTGAGCTGGAGGCTGGCCTTCGACCACGCTGTGGGACCGGTCCTTCATGGGATTGATTACAGAACAGCTAAAGGCGGTATTGGGGGGGGGGGTTGCTGGAAGGTGACATCTGCTCCTCTGATGTTGACCGACGGGGTCCCCCGCCTGTCCGGATCGAGTGGCTATTCCGGAAGGTGCCGGAAGCCCGTGGTCAGTGCAGGAAGACGTCTCTGAAGCGGGTGGCTTCCAGCCAGGGCAGGTAGGCGGCAGTGCGGGTGAAGACGCTGGGCTTGTTCTCCGCCGCACAGCCAACTGGGCCAAAGCTGACGACGCCGTGAACTTCCCAGCGACCGTGACCACGCCTGCAGAGCAGGGGGCCACCTGAGTCTCCCTGGGGGTGAGGGGAGGGGAGGGGGGTTTGCAACCAAGTCAAGCACAGCGCAGCCATTGAGTATGATGCATTTAATTATGGGAGATCAGGTCCTTCCTGGGGTTAAAACCAAACATCTGCTTTGCATTGAATACAGTGAACCACCCTCCATCCCCCAAATGTGTCTGAATTACAAATGACACACATATTCTTCCTGTCCATATTTTTATTGTCTACTCATATTCTCTCAGTAAAGTCAAAATCAATTACTCATCAGCAAACCTTTTAATGAAAATCAAAAACTGAAAAAGGCTTTTCAATACTTTTGCAGGGCACCGTATGGAAGTAGGTCAGTGATTCAGAGATGGGTAAATACTATGGTTTTGGGGTAAATATGCATCAGTTACTGCCTCAAAGTACTGAATGGAAAGGCAGGTTAACAAGCGAAAGTTAAGTGCACTGTAATATGCCGGCAGATTCCCTGACGTGGTAAGGTCTGTCGACCTCCCACCAGAAGGGGGCGGTGTCATAACAGTCAAACTCACCTGACAGGCAGCCGGAGGGCCCTCCGTGTGGCGGAAGCCAGCGCAGATCATGGAGTCGCGCACACGGTCTCCCCAGAACTTCTTCTGCTTGCAGGTGTTGAAGTCAATGATGGGCAGGCGGGCCTGATTGAGGGCCTCGGCCAGGGTGACATTCTCCTTTCCGCCTGCATGACAAACAGTTATACTCCATACAATGTGCAGCGAAATGCATGGTTACCTGGACACATGAGTATAAAGAGACATTCAACATTAGACAACAATCTTAAATATCCATTGTAAGTAATGAGACTCAAAGAGCTTTATGCATGGGGGGCTGCCATGTTTTAGCTTCCATGTGGTCATGTGATCACCGGGCGCTGTCCCCCCACGTGTCTCACCTCGCGTGTCCCCCCAGCCTGTCACCCAGCAGTAGTGCCCTGCCTGCGGGGTGCTCTCTTTCCGCGGGAGACACGCGTAACCCACGTATTCGCTGGGCCGCATCTCTGCGCCGGCCCTGACGAGCGCGATGTCGTAGTCGAGCTCCCCCAGCGCCGGGTAAAGGAAGCGCTCGTGGCGGTAGATGTGGCGCACGGGGACCGTGCGCTCGCTGGCCTCCGCCCGCCGTAGCCGGTGTTTGCCCAGAGCGATACGCCAGCTGCCCGGATCCTCTGCCTTTCCCCTGCCGGAGAGACGCTCGTTTAAGGCGGCCGCCTGGGCTCTGTGGCAAATGACCACCGCGTATGAACGCCCAGAGGAATCGCTCTTACTTCTGAAAGCAGTGCGCCGCTGTCAGAACCCAGTCCTTGTGGATGAGAGTGCCGCCACACACGTGGGCGTAGGTCTTACTCCCCCTGGGGCGGACCTGTGCACCAGCCACACTGGAGATTAGCGCTTTCGACAGGAAGAAGGTCACTTACCCACCTTTAGAGTAGATAACATCTCTGTACATTTACATTTAATTTATTTAGCAGACAATAGGTGCTGTGACATCACTTCGGCAACGCTGGGATTTAAACTGGCAACCTTCTGATCAGAGGCACAGCGCCTGAACCCACTGAGCCACACAGTGCCCCCTGAATGTGGCTGTAAAGGAGTTTTCCTGGAGGGGTCGAGGGGGTGTCCAGGATCGTCACCTGCAATGACACCTGCCACGGCCAGGAGTGGGGGCGGGCCTCCCTGCCGGACACGATGCGCTCGGCCACCGTAGGGCTGAAGTGCGCGAGCCCGCAGTTCTCAGGCCAGTCTGCAGGGGGCGTCAGAGTGATTTTCAGTTTCAGTGGAAACATTCTGAAACATTGTATCTCTGTACTGAAGGTTTGCTTCTAAATTAATTCATATTCTTCAGGTGGTATTTGTGTTTAGACCGCAATTATCTTTGTGTCAACATTCAAATATTAGCACATCAGTCACTGGCACACAGGCGCAGTTAAGGTGGCGCAGTTCGGATGGGTCTGCATGGTCCTTCTTCGGCCTGTGGCCGGACTGCCTGTGTACTGAGGGATTGACGTCCGTGTTGCTGATGGGGTCTGTTACTCTGCTATGCTGTTTTTATAAGTGCATGAGGCCAGCAGGTGGCTGTGGCCAAATCCCACTGTGACCGTTACCACAGCGAGTAAAACAAAATAAGGCAGCCAAGTGCGGCTGTGAAAGCAGCTATAAATAAAAACATCATGGCAAATCAACAGATAATCAGTGTGTGAAAATGTCACGCTGAGAGAGCTAGTCGTGCTTTTTGCTTATCACAAAAAAAGATTTATCACGGGCATGTGAGAAGAAGAGATTAATCCGAATGGGGAGACAATGGAGGGAATGCAGAGAGAGAGAGAGGGAGGAAGAGGAAGGATTAGGGTTAGAGAGAGGGAGGAAGGTGTGGGGTTAGAGAGAGGGAGGGAGAGGAAGGTTTGGGGTTAAAGAGGGAGGGAGAGGAAGGTTTGGGGTTAGAGAGAAAGAGGGAGGAAGAGGAAGGTTTGGGGTTAGAGAGAGGGAGGAAGAGGAAGGTTTGGGGTTAGAGAGAGGGAGGGAGAGGAAGGTTTGGGGTTAGAGAGAGGGAGGGAGAGGAAGGTTTGGGGTTAGAGAGGGAGGGAGAGGAAGGTTTGGGGTTAGAGAGGGAGGGAGAGGAAGGTTTGGGGTTAGAGAGAGAGGGAGGAAGAGGAAGGTTTGGGGTTAGAGAGAAAGAGGGAGGAAGAGGAAGGTTTGGGGTTAGAGAGAGAGAGGGAGGAAGAGGAAGGTTTGGGGTTAGAGAGAGAGAGGGAGGAAGAGGAAGGTTTGGGGTTAGAGAGAGGGAGGGAGAGGAAGGTTTGGGGTTAGAGAGAAAGAGGGAGGAAGAGGAAGGTTTGGGGTTAGAGAGAAAGAGGGAGGAAGAGGAAGGTTTGGGGTTAGAGAGAAAGAGGGAGG